ACTTAGTTGTTCCATTTTAATACAATTAAGTACACTAAAATATATTGCAAATATATTAAAGTTGAGTTTAAGTAATGTTAAAAGACTAATATACTGCAAGTTGTTCCAAAATAACACACTTAATATACACTTAGTACAATACAATTAAAATATATTAAATACATCAAGATAAAGTACAACTTAAGTATACCTTTTTTTTTCACCTGGGTGCAATGGTCCAGTCCAAGTCCAAAACCTCACCGATTGAAATGATGGGGTGGGCCCTTCAGAGAGCAGAGCTTGTTAAACAAAAATCTGCAAACCTCAATGAACTGAAGAAAAGCTGAAAAGAGAACAAAAATATTTCCTTTTTTGTTTTGTTCACTTCAGCTTAGATTGGAATAAGTTTAGAACCTGGAACAGTAGATCTGAAAGAGGTGGACCTTTTTATTTTACCCCCAGGACTAAACACCAGTATTTCCAGTGTACTTCAAATGAATTGCTTATGAACCAACTAATTCATTCATGTCTTTTGTGGATTTCTAACCTTTCATTCTTGCTATAGGGAGGCAGGTCCAAACACAGAGACTGCCATGCAGAACAAGCTTTAATTTTCAAGTGTAACTAAGTAAATATTTGCTGATGGTCTTACATAGTTCTTCAGCACCTCTGGATGGCTGACAGGAGACAGAAAATGAAAACCTGACCTCAGTCCTGAGCTCATTAATTTGTTTAGGATCATTGATGCGATCCTAGCCAGCATGGCAGGTTTAAAGCACAAAGCAGTACCAGAAGCAGTAAGCCTTTACAGCCAACAGAAGATTGAGAAAAGAATGGAAATAGTGGATGTATGTTTAGCTTTATGGAACCAGCTTCAAGTCTAACCAATGGTTTATATTGTGGTCATCAGCCCAGGCAGTCAAATAACATTCAAACCTTTATTGCCCAAATCTCTGACTTAATCTTCCACATTTGGTTTTGACAAGTCCGGGGGCAGGTTGTGCTTGTTAACCAGCACCTTTTCTCAAACCTGCTTTATTCTGGCTGTCATCACAGCAAAGCTGGGCTCCATGTCACACCTGGAACAATCAGAATACACACAGAACTCCTCCAGGCACACACAAGCTTAAATATAACCCAAAGTCTTCCCCCACATGTAGATCAGACACACAAATACACACGTAAAAGAGAAAGCCAAAGGGCTGATCAACGCATCGATCCGATTTGAATCTCTTTCCCACAAGTGATGGTATATAAGACTCCAGAGCCAACTATGTAAGTCCAGACATGATCCACTCCACTGTCCAGCCCGGTCCTGTGACTTCAGCCTCTTCTTGTGCTGACATGGACTATGCCAAGCCCATCTCCTCTAGTACACTTCTAGGTGACTCATCCTCCTGCCAAATCAAACACAAGCAAATTCAAACAAAGTATTATTCCATTAGTTTCAAAAATGAAATAAAAAATGATTAAGACATTTTCAGACAAACATGTTGACTCAAACCCTTTCAGGAATCATGGAATAGATGAATTACTCCCTTACACTGTTGCACAAGTTCGCACTTCATTTGAACAAGCTCAAAGTGAGGCACGGTGTTTTTTTTTCCTGCTCTTGGAGGAGTAAGACGCTTTTTCCCTCTCTCTCGCCTTCCCTTTTTTTCCCTGCTTTGCCTCTCGGAGCCTCCTCTACATTTTCATCTGAAACCGAAAATTATGGATTTATTTTTATGGAGTTGGTTAGCTGGTCTCTTAATACATTTTTGGAACAATTTTTTTCCATGGGAGGTCATGTCAAAGGTGGGACCTCTGTTCTGCTCTGTTCCACTAGCATATACTGGATTCTGATCACTGGATCTCTACAGATTGGCTTGGTGGTCTCCTGGTGTTCTACAAAACAGTGTTGGTGGCTACTCAGTCCATTTGGGGGCAGCTGTGGCAGAGTGGTTAGGGGAGTCATTCTGGAACTGGAAGGTCACCTGTTCAAATCCCAGCTTCTGCAACTTTAACAAAAAAATCTCTTCAAACTACATGTCACACAATTACCCTCATTACAAACACCTGCTGACTTGACAGGCACAAGTTGGTACTTGATTAGAAAACATTTCAACTTGGTCACAAGTTCATTCTGCAAGTCCACTGCTGCAGGCAAAGGCATACTAATGCACACTTGTTTTTACATCGTAAAAACCAATGTTTCATCTGCCATTAAATAGAGACAAGAAAAAACAACAAGAGGCTCTTCCCGATGCACGTCAATCTGTTTTTCCGAGCATCTGACCTGACAGAGCACATGCATCCAACTTGAGAAGTTGGGCGCGTTTTTGATGCTCCAAATACATTCGGTGTGACCGTAGCATTACATTCCAGATATCTAAAATTGGTTTTTGACTAGAAATAATTAGATATCTTTAATTATATTTGACTAGGCAAAATACTTATTTATATCTCTGATTACATTCTAACTAGTATAAATGATGTCAGATTTACCATTAGGTTGTATGGAAGCTCCATTTCAAGATATTGGTAATAAATTACAGACTATCTAAGACATATAATTCAATTCAATTCAGTTTATTTATATAGCGCCAAGTCACAACATACATTGTCTCAGGGTCACTGTACATAAAAAGAACAATCTAAAGAAGAAGCCAGCAGATTGTGTTGAATCACTTCATCACAGTCTCCCATCCTGAGCAAACGGTGGAGAGGAAAAACTCCCTGCTAATCAAGAAGAAACCTCCAGCAGAACCAGGCTCAGGACAGGCGGCCATCTGCCTCGACCGGCTGGTTGGAGGACAGGAAAGAGACACAGAGAAACAAAGAAGAACTGGTCCAGGTGCAACTTCTTCTGGAAGAGACAATGAAAAAAACATGTTATTGATGGAAATAATTACAATAAAAATGTAAAGAAGAGAGACTAAAGACAACAGCAGAGTGAGGAAATGTGCTCAGTTTGTGCTCCAGCAGTCTGAGTCTATAGCAGCAGAAATGAAGAATAATTCAGGAAACCTAAGTCTAACTATAGGATTTATCAAAAAGGAAAGTCTTCAGTCTAATCTTAAAAGTAGACAGACTGTCAGCCTCTCGGACAGAAACTGGAAGTTGGTTCCACAAGAGAGGAGCTTGATAACTGGAAGCTCTGCCTCCCATTCTACTGTTAGAAACTGGAGGAACCACAAGTAAACCTGCAGTCTGAGAGTGAAGTGCTCTGTTAGGAAAGTATGGGACAATAAGATGTAATATATGATGGAGCTTGGTTGTTGAGAGTTTTGTATGTTAGGAGTAATATTTTAAATTCTATTCTGAATTTGTCAGGGAGCCAGTGGAGAGAAGATAAAACTGGAGAAATATGATCTCTCCTTCCAGCTCTCATTAAAACTCTAGCAGCAGCATTTTGGATTAACTGAAGACTTCTTAAAGAGGTTTTTGGATGTCCAGATAATAAATAATTACAGTAATCCAGTCTAGAAGTGATAAATGCACGAATCAGTTTATCTGTGTCATTTTTGGACAAAATGTTTCTAATTTTAGTGATATTACGCAGGTGGAAGAAGGCGGTCCTTCTTACATTTTTAATGTGGAGGTTCATATCCTGATCAAAAATAACACCAAGGTTCTTCACATTAGAACTGGAGGTCAGATTAATGCCATCCAGAGGAGGTGAAAGGCTGCAAAGTTGATCCCTAAAATGTTCTGGTCCAAAAACCATAACCTCTGTCTTATCTGAGTTTAGAAGCAGAAAGTTAAGAGTCATCCATGTATTTATGTCATTAAGACATGCTTGTAGTTTAAGTAACTGGTTGAATTCATCAGGTTTCATGGATAAATATAACTCAGTATCATCAGCATAACAATGGATATTTATCCCATGCTGTTTAATAACTTTAACTAATGGAAGCATATATAAAGTAAAGAGGATTGGTCCAAGCACTGAGCCCTGAGGAACTCCATGACTAATTCTGGTGTAAGAAGAAGATTCATTATTAATATTAACAAACTGAAATCTATCAGTTAAATAAGACTCAAACCATTTTAGAGCTGTTCCTGTAATCCCAATATCAAGTTCAAGTCTACGTAATAAAATATTGTGATCAATTGTATCAAATGCAGCACTGAGATCTAACAGGACAAGAATGGACACAAGTCCACTGTCTGAGGCCATGAGAATATCATTAGTAACTTTCACCAGAGCTGTTTCTGTGCTATGATGAGCTCTAAACCCTGACTGAAACTCTTCATATAGATTATTTCTATTGAGATGTTCATGTAGTTGATTTGTAACTATTTTCTCAAGAATTTTGTGATGAATGGGAGATTAGATTTCAGATTTCAAGAATTAAAATCTGACTAGTCATAAAGCTAGTTTGAGGTCTCTCACCTTTTTTCTGCCTAAACATGTCTTAAATTTCTTCAGGTTGTGTAAATATGTGTACAGTAAATACTGGTGTTCTTAGCACTTTTTCTAAAATATGTATTATTCGTATGGATCGCATCGAACGAAATTAGGAGTTATATTGTGATATAAATTTTAGCCATTTCTTCCAGCCCTAATGGTGAGGCAAYGGGTGGCAATTCTTTGCTTTGCTCCCACTTTTATGTCCAACCATTTAAGCTTTTAATACTTCTGCAGGTGTGTGCTGCTGACAACCACAGATTCACACACACTGTCACTGCTCTTTGCACAAAATGACAAAGTGTGGTGTGTAAAAGCAGGTGTCAAATACATTTTTATACCACAGTACATTATTTAAAGCAACGTTGATCAGGATTTTCAGGTAAAATATGCTTGGATTTGACTGCTGGATATGGGCACCTGTGACCCCCATAAACCTGAAAGGAAGCAGCGGGTATAGATATGGATGAACGGACGTGCTTGAATTCATACATACATTGAATTTGGACAGTCTCACATATCTGATTATTTTTGTGGTGCTGTGCATTTTGGGTTTTCAAAAGCTGCTCACTTTTTCATACATGAGACCCCAGACTGCAAACAGCTCCAAAAGTATATCCAACTGAGAAAAAAAAGTGTATATGTGGAGGCCTTTAACCTTTCCTCCAGCAATAAGTCAGCAGGAGGTGGTGTTGGCTCGTCATTATATACTGACCCGCTGACACCACCTCTGGAAACAACAGCTGGGACACCTCTGACTGAAGTGTAACACTGAAACATGTCAGGCATATCTGAAGAGACAAAGTAATCAAGTGTCCAATAAAGGAAACATCAAGATTTTTAAGTCAGACTGTTAACAATTAAACCATAATGCAGAGATCAAGTCATAATGTTGAGTTTAAAAGTCAGAGTTTTAAAATGAAAGCAGGTGTGAGTTTAAAGTCATAATATTAGGTCTTAGTTTTAGGATCATAGCCGTGATGTTAAAATAAATTGTTAATGTTGGGACTAAGGTCATTATGTCAAGATTAAAACTGTAATGTTAAGATTTAGATTGTAATGTTGGGATTAAGTCATTGAGAAAATAGTCAGCAGGAGATTAAAGGCATAATGTTGAGATTAAAGCTGTCACGCTGACTTACCTCCTGCAGTAGATCAGCTTGTTCTATGGCTTTAAGAACACTCTTCTTTGACGTGTCCTGGATCTCTCCTCCCATCAGGAACTCGTCTAAAATAAAGTAGGCCTTCTCAAAGTTAAAGATTATGTCCAGCTCACACACCTGCACAGAAACACACCGAGCCTTGCTATGATTTGTTTCAATGGTTTTATCAGATGAGGACAAGAATGGCACACAACTCTTAACACTTACACTGCCGAAGTATTTATCCAGGAGCTCAACGAAGCGATGAATTACCTCCAGAGTAATCAGCTCATTGTCCTGCTCCTCAATAGCACAACAAAAATATAGGCTGGCATACCTGCCAAAGAAAATACACACAGATATGTAAACACATCCACATAAGTGCTCGACAAGGGTTCTCACAGCAAATTATAATAAACATAATTCAGATTACAGAGCTGTCAACAGCCGTTAAATAATACTACAGTAGTTTTAGGTAACCAAATATTATTGTCTGTCAGGCAAATAAATATTTAATGTCAGTAGCAATCACCAGTTTTAGAGAAGACTTTCATCAATAAGGTGTGAAGCTCATCAAACTGGACAAAAGGCACCACCCAGTGGCCTGGTGCATCGCATGCAGACCAACAGTGAATCCTACACAAATGCATTTCATGTTCTTTAATAAAATGCTTTATTATAAAACTTGTTAGTACTGTCAAGTTAACAGTAAATCAATGACTTCATACCAATAAAAGGCAAAGGTAGAAGATTATGGTTGTGCCTCTGTGAGTATTCATGTGCCTGTTTGTAAGCAAAGTATTAAAAAGTACAAAGGAGTACAAGGAGACAGAACTTTTCTGAGAAGACACTGAGGAAGATCAGGTTGTTGAACACTGGCATGAAGATGTTAGGATTCAGACCTGCAGATGGAGTCATCCCCAAAACACTCTGAGAACTTACAGACTTGTGTGACATCTTGGTTTAAAATCTTGGGATGGAAGGTGGTGAGCAATATGTATTCCTTTAAGAAATGATAGCGTGCTTTCTTGTCTGCCTCTATTTATTTGAAATGGCAAGCCCTAATTATTAAGAATTTTTTTTAGTGCGCACAACTCAAATGTCCTTAAGAAAAGGGAAAGAGAGTAAATGGGTGTCTGGTTCTGAAGGATCAAAAAAAATGGGATAACCAGCACTCCAAAAAATACTATTATTACACAATTATAACTTTAAAATAATCATCACTAAATAATATGCCAGGGTTATTCAACTGAAGGCTCGTGGGCAGTGACCAAAGCTCAGTCCACCAATTGGTTCATTCATCTCTTAAGTCCAAACACACGGTTTTCTACTTTAATTACTCCAAGTTATTTTAGTTAAACATAGACATGTTTGATATCAACAGAAACATCAGAATCTTGGCTAGAAGCTGGTAAAAACCATTTCTATGAACACTCAAGACAGTTAAAACTACAAGCAGTTGAAGATAAAACTATGAAAGAGAAAATTTTATTTACAGAATGACTAATTGCTGGATTCAGCCCCTCAGCCGTTGGCCTGTAGTAACTGTGGCCCCAGGAGCAGTTTAGTTGAATAGCCCTGCAATATGTGATATTAGTATTGAGGCAGCAAAAGAAACAGCAAATTTCATTTTATAAAAAGCAAAAACATGTGATTTTTGTTTTCTTACTACTAATAGTGGTATTTGTGTTTAAGGTGCTCATAGTCTCGTTTGCCTAGCGCAGAATGCTACTAGCAGAGACTGGTACAAATACTTTTCTGTTTATTAGGACTTTAGAAGAGTAACTACACAACAATGAGTTCAACTTTAAGAAGTCTGAGCAAGCTCTACCTTTTATAGACAATCTTCAGGTCCCTCCACTCTAAAAAGCTGCACATCTTTGGTTTGCGAGCGAGCACTATCTGCATGAGCTCCCTGACCATCTTCTTTTTGTCCCGTTCAGCTGTAGCTGTGTACCACTTCTGTAGCCGCAACTTCCCCTGCCGACTGAACAGCAGCATGAAACGCATCTGCAAACACACAGGAACAAAACCGCTCATAAACACAGCATCATCACATCCTTTCATGCACCACAGACCAATATGAAATGAAATATGAATATGAAACCTGCAAACACTGAATTTTACCTACAAATATGTGGTTGTTAAAGAAAACTACAGGATCATGTGTAGAAAAGCTGGCAAGCGCTAATTCAGGATTACCTACTAGAATCCACACTGTTGGCAAAATATCTAATAAACCACTGGACAGATTTTTATCAAAGGACTCATAAAACAATCATTAGATGGACATCTACAACTAGGCCTGTCACGATAACAAATTTTGCTGGACGATTAATTGTCTCAAAATTTATTGCGATAAACGATAATATTGCCTGGTGACCGTTTTACAACTAATAATTATAAAAGCGTAATGTGTAAGTGTAATAAATCAATAAACTTTCATTTTTAAAAGAATGTTTAACAAAGTGGACTCTCAGTCTCTAACAAAAAAATGCACTTGAATAAAAAAAATAAAACAAAGAACAACAAAATGTAAATTAAACACCACACACAACTAAGACAGTAAATAAACAATATTAAAGTGCAGCAACTCTTTAGAGATGAAGCAAACTACACAGCCTGGTGAGGTCCCACTGTTTCTTATGGGGACATAAGCCCAGTTCACATCCCATGTAAAGTGTAGGCTAGGTTTAGGGTCAAATGGTAATAGAAAATACTGGTAAATGAATGAAAGTCAATGCAAAGTCCCCATGAGGATAGAAGAACAAACGTGTCTATGTGTGTGTGTGAGGAGGGGACAGTCAGAGCGCTGCGGGGAGGAAATCAGACAGTTCAGAGTTTTCCTCATGAGTTGTTGGGACAGCTACAGGCTTTTGGGGTGTTTTGTTAAAACACAGATGGTGTGTTTAAGTTTCCTGTTATTTTTGGAGCTACAGGTAAAGTCTTGACGAGTTTTTGTCGCGGGTCTGGGGGAGTTTCAGCCCCCACCCCTTCTCCTCCTCTCTGTCTCWCTYYSTCTCTCTCTCTCTGTCTCTCTTTCTCTCTCTCTCTCTGTCTCACTCCGTCTCTCTCTCCCTCTCTCCCTCCGCAGCGAAATCCAGGTTCTAGTGCTCCCAACACTTCAGCAGCCGCGTTCTGCTTTGAAGCGTTTCTTTAGAAACTAGCTCTCACGCTAAAGCGACAGTTCGCTCCTCCCACACTAAGAAAACAGGAGGGGAGGGGTCAGCGGAGCTCCTGTGTAGCGGAGCACAGAGAGGGAGAGAGACGAAGTAAAAAAACAAGCAGGAAAATGAAACTTATCGGCGTCTTTTTTTTACCGACCTCAAAAAAAGTTATCGTGCGATTAATTGATTTATTGACTATCGCGACAGGCCTATCTACAACTGAAGAGCATTTTAATTCAAGAAGGTGGTCTTTGCCAAATACCTTAGAAAATACAATATTGAGCTAAATTGGATGTGGTAGTAGCTGAGAATCATTCACAACCCATAAAGTGTCTACAAAATGTCTTTATCCCCTTTGGAAGTTTAACCCTTTTATTGCTTTTCAAATCAATTATAGTCAATAAAAGCTGGCCTTGTTTTAAAAAAAAATCATTAATATCAAAGTGAAATCATTTTTTTTCATGAGCAATGACAATTAAATAAAAATATGCCATTAAATAAGTGACTGTAAATATTCAATCCCTTTAGTAGTGGTTCTAACTTTGGATGTGTCTCGCTGAGAATTGCTGTGTCTGGAAAAATTATTTATTGGCTAAACGACATTCCTGGCTGCCATTACACCATGGAGACAAAAAAATAAAAAACCCCAAAGCAACTCAGACAAAAGATTATTGAAAAATAAAAGCCAGGGGACTGACACAACACAACACACACCTTATCTTCCACCCTCACTCAGCACATTCAGTTTGGGTCAAATTACATTTTTAAAGCGACAGTACAACAGGTAACCATTTCCCATCTGGCAACCTTGCCATACTACTACAAACCCATGTAAACATGTTTATTGACAGCGTCAAGGTGAAACAGATATAAATAATTAGTCCATAACACGACCAAATATATATAGAAAAAAAATAAAAATAAAAAACATTGCAGGAGGTAGTTCTTGTTTTAACAGGGCCTGAATTCCTGCAGAACCTTTCTCTCCACAGTTCACTGCAGTTTTTAACAGTATCTTTCAACATGCTGAGTAATCAGGCTTTTTATTTTTTAATGCAGTTTCAACTTTTATGTTGGACTTTTAAACCTATATTTTGTCATTTTATGTGAATGTTTTTTTAAAACTTGTAAATGTTCACTTAAATTTAAAAAAGTTAAAAAAATGATTTTGAGTTTTTAAGAAAAATTAGTCATAGACAAATCAAAACAAAACTTGTTTAATGGCTAGCCTCCTGTGTTAAACCAAACTTAACATCTGCAGTTCCTGTTTGCTTTACTGCAACAGGAACTGTACCTGAGGACTTATTTTAGGGTTTGAGCTCAGACCTGGGATCTGGTTAAAGGTTAGAGCTGGGATCCTCAGGAAAATGCATGGATATGAATATAATAAATACAATAAAGAGAGTAATACAAGTGGGTACTGATTTGAAAACATTCAAACCTAATTCTAACCTGGCTTTGAACMTGTTAGATAGAATACTAGTCTTATCTGTTGTTTTCAAACTTCACTCATTATCAATATAATTATATAATATTCCATATTATTATTAATCTTAATAACCTTCCATRGTATTAGAGATGCAAAATAAGGCATATTGTAAAGTTTGTTCTAGTTCTGCAGAATGCTTCATGTCAGGCACAGGTTCAGCTGCTCATGTCCTGTTTGTGTTCTAAGAAACATTCATGTCTGATTTAAAAGTCTTTCTGAATAAACATTAAATCAGGACTAATGATCTGCCATAATTAAATGTAAAACCGGTCACGGTTAATGACCCAGTATTAGCGCATAATAATCTGTTCCTGATCTAAGGGGGACACCTGAAACCCTCTGGGACGACTGCTCTGTGGGTCCAAACGAGACCAACACCACCGAGCTCACAGGACACCTGGTGCAGCGAGGAGGACTAACGGAACCGCTTCACCTCTCGTCCTCCTACCTGAAGGCCTGTCAGCGGACTGAAGCACCCAGGTGAACATAGCGCAGGTGGGCACTTCCTGGAAACATTATACACCTTGCTAGCATTAGCACAACTTAGCTCCCGGCTCTTCTAGCCACATCAGACGCAGTAAACTCACCATTCTGAACAATTTCCCAATGTCTATCCACCAGTACCAACGAACTGCCGTAAACCAAAAGGTTTACACGCTCATTAGTGCCGAACATCCATTTATGTGTCTGATAATGCACCAGAAAATATACCTGCAACCGARCAAGAACACTCTCTACCGAGCACTTCCGCTTCCAGCGCGCATGCGCACTTCAGTGGTTTGTTTTACTGCACGTTTTCCCCCCCAGTGATGAAAAGAATTCCAAATGCTGTTGAGGAAACTGAAATTATTAATACTGTAAAAAATGTAATAATAAAACATCTACAGACTGTAATGGAGTATTTTTGGTTTAAAAAAAGTCATTAGTATTCTAAGCCACTATTAACCATATTTGCAATTTGTCATTTAAGCTAACTTGTTGAAAACTGCAAAATGCATCCCTATGCTCAAAACTGGGAGCAAGCASAGCTTTTCAAACTATAGACCTGTCTCAGTAATCCTGCAGTTTAAAAGTTTTTAGAAAAACTCTTAATAACTGAATGGAGACCTTTCTGAAAAAAAAAAACAATTAATTTCAGAAAGTCTGTATGGTTTTTGGGCAATTGAAGGAATCACTGATGTAACAGACAACAAAAAAGCATGCATTAGGAGTTTTCATTTACCTTACAAAAGCATTTTATATAATTAATCATAACTTATTATTCAATAAATTGGAACAAATATGGGATAAGGGTATTGGTACCAGATTGTGTAAAGAGTTATTTAAAAGGACAACAAAAGTTTGAAAAGGTGGGCAAACACTGTTCTGGATAGTTGGACATTGTTAGTGGTGTCCCCCAGGGGTCAGTATTGGGCCCCAAATGATATGTGTAAAGTAATACAACAGTTAAAAATTGAGTAAAATTTGCAGATGACATATTCTTGGTGACGATAATAATATTAAGAAACTGTAAACACTTGTAAATGAAGAATTAAAATAGCTTTATAGGAATAAAATATCATTAAATGTAAATAAGACCGAGTTTATGTTATTTGGTAAGTGCACAGAAAATATAAAGTTGTTTATAAAAATAAATCGAGTAGAAATTGAAAGGATRCACAAAAATAAATTCCTAGGGGTCATTGTTGATGATAAGTTAATTTGGAAAACACACATTAATCATATACAAGCCAAAATCTCAAAAAGTTATATACAACACAAAACAACTATTAGATCAAAACTCATTGCATAGAATTTGTTCACTCGTTCTGCCATATTTACAGTATTGTGCAGCGATTTGGGGAAATACTTATAAAACTTCATTGCAGTCATGGTTTCCAGGCAAAAAGAGCAATAAGGACTATTTACAAAGCCAGCTGTTTGGAACATACAAATCCACTTTTTAAGCAGTCAAACTTACTTAAAATTATGGACATTGTATCTGAAATATGTGAGTATGTGTATGTATGTGCAAATGTATATGTATATATTTGTAGACATGTATATGGGTTTACGTATGTACGTCTGTGGGTATATATGTATGTATATGTGTGCAAATACAGTATACAGTGAGGTGCGAAAGCCTTGTTAATTTTCCTGATTTACCTTTACGAATCATTGATTGTTTGGATAAAAAAAATCAGTAAAATATATCATATAGGGGACAAATACAGTGATATTTGAGAAGTGAAATGAAGTTTATATAATTTACAGAAAGTGTGCAATAATTGGTTGAACAAAATTAGGCGGGTGCATAAATTTGAGCACCAAAAAAAAAAAAAACACCTTAACTCAGTATTTAGTAGATCATCCTTTCTCAGAAATAACAGCCTCTAAATGCTTCCAATAGCTTCTAATGAGAGTCTGGATTGTAGCTGAAGGTATTTTAAAACATTCTTCTTTACAAAACATCTCTAGTTCATTCAGGTTTGATGGTTTCCAACCACAGACAGCTCTCTTTAAGTGACACCACAGATTTTCATTAATATTCAGATCTGGGGACAGAGATGGCCATTCCAGAACGTTGTACTTGTTCCTCTGCATGAAGGCCTCAGTAGATTTTGAGCAGTGTGGTGGTTGTCTTGTTGGAAGATGCAGCCCCGATTCAGCAGCTTCAGCTTTGTCACTGATTCCTGGACATTGGTCTCCAGAATCTGCTGATATTGGTTGGAATCCACACGTCCCTCAACTTTAACATGATTCCCAGTCCCTGTACTGGCCACACAGCCCCACAGCATGATGGAACCACCCCCACATTTTACTGTAGGTAGCACATGTTTTTCTTGGAGTGCTGTGTTCTTTTTCCTCCATGCATAACGGTCCTTGTTCTGCCCAAATAACTCTATTTTAGTTTCTTCAGTTCACAGCACCTTATTCCAAAATGGAGCTGGCTTGTCCAAATGTGCTTTAGCATACCTCAAGCAGCTCTGTTTGTGATGTGGGTGGAGAAAAGGCTTCCTCTGCATCACTCTCCCATACAGCATCTCCTTGTGTAAAGTGTGCTGAATAGTTGAACGATGYACAGTGACTCCATCAGCAGCAAGATGATGTTGTAGGTCTTTGGTGCTGGTCTGTGGGTTGACTGACTGTTCTCAACATCCTTCACTTCTGTTTATTCCAGATCTTTCTTGGTCTGCCACTTCGATCCTTGACTTGAACTGTGCCTGTGGTCCTCCATTTTCTCACAATGTTTCTCACAGTGGAGACTGAAAGCTGAAATCTCTGAGATAGCTTTCTGTATCCTTCCCCTAAACCATGGCGGTGAACAATCTTTGTTTTCAGCTCATTTGAAAGCTGTTTTGAGACTCCCATGCTGCCACTCTTCAGAGAAGATGCAAAGAGGAGAAAAACTTACAATTGCCTCCCTTAAATGCCCTTTCTCATAATTGGAGTCACCTGTGTATGGAGGTCAAGGGTCACTGAACTTACCAAACCAAATTTAAGTTCCAATAATTAGTTCTAAAGGTTTTGAAATCAATAAAATGACAACAGTGCCCAAATTTATGCACCTGCCTAATTGTATTAAACCAATTATTGCACACTTTCTGTACATCATATAAACTTCATTTTACTTCTCAAATAGCACTGTGTTTGTCCCCTATATGATATATTTAACTGATTTTTTTATGCAAACAATCAGTGATTCATAGAAGTAAATCAGGAACATTAACAAGGGTGCCCAAACTTTCGACCCCACTGTATATATATATATATATATATATATATATATACTGTATATATAAATGTGTGTGTGTTCATATGGTCAGGAATATAAATATAACCCTTAAGACACAATTTAGACAGTTTATCTGCAAAAAAAGTTGATTTTGGAGGTAGTTACACTTTAACATTAAGATGCATGGTCTCACAGGGTTATACTATTTTGTATAAATATAAATTTAGGAGAGTAACAAGTATTTTCTCAATAAGTTACATTAATTGTAAACAATAATAGTTTTAAAAAAACTAAAGTAGATATTTTTATATCAGAAAGTGGTTCCCTAGCTATCCTGAATTGCTTTATTTGTTAAATAAGCTATAAAAACATAAAAAAAATCTTCTGGAATTCTGTTCTGGCTTTTGGTTTTGATGTGCTGCACCAGCAGCTTTCAAGTAACTGTTTATCCAATATCACATTCAAGTCTCAATATTTAAGTCAACTGTATCAAATGCAGCACTCAGAACTAAAAGGACAAGTATGGATACAAGTGTACTGTCTGAGACCAGAAGAATCTCATGAGTCACTTTCACCACCAAGCAAGAATTATTTTAAAAGATTTTGTAATTGTCTTTTTTTACAAGCTACTAAGTTTAGGAACAAACAGCTTTAATCTTAATGATTCATTAATGGAATTGACCAAAATTACAAAACTTTATTATAAATATAAATATTTCAAAAATACATGTGTAAATTTGTAACAGCACAAATATGAACATCACAACATGTAGTTTACAATCTTTATACATTGTAAAAATATATATATTTGGCACAGAAAATAAAACAAATGGGTTTGTCTGCAGCATTTTTTTCCATCAGCAGTCTGTTTCTCTATGTCTTTTACCACAAATATTTAAAAATAAATAATCAGCAAACATATAAACTCTCCTTACTAAGTCATAGTCAGTCTAGTATCAAACCCCATAAATAAATGTGTCAGTGAACGTACAGTGTCTGTGATGTCAGGTCTGAATAGGTCATGATGAGCAGCAGTAGTGTCACACAAAGCAGCTGTTCCACATGTTACTGCTGTGGAGGGTGGCTAAACTGACCCGTGAACAGAACAGCCCCTGAAAACACAAACACAATGAAGTGAGTATCTGAACACCTCAGCCAGACTTGTGAAATTAATCTTAAATTTAAAAAAAAAAGAAAAAGGTTTGTTACCGGTGGGTTTGTGCTGAATGAGGAAGAGGAAAGGTCGGTCCAGAGTGATCTCTGGTACTGCCATACGAGAGAACATGACTGCCGCTGACAGAGGAAAGAAAAGAGAAGAGCTCAGTCAGCTGGGGATTTGTTTGGACCCCCTATTCATTTCAAAACACTGGTTCATTATTATTAATATAAAACACTTTGTTATTTTATTTACACAATCCATTCATTCATTCCACACCAGGAACAAGCTCAAGAAACATTTTATTTAAAAATTCATCAAAAGATGTCAACAAGGGAAGACTTGTCCATCCAGCCTTACATGTTGGAGCCAGAGTCTGACCCGAGACAAAGAAATTGTAGCTGGTAAGTCCACACTCTATTTGTCAGTTCTGTCACAAATAATTTGATGTAGTAATTCATAAAATGTCAGAAAATAGAGAAAACTGAGCGGGTTAAACAGAATATAAAAATATCTATGCAGCACCGGGTGAGATTAAATTGAACTTTTCTGCCTCCTGTTTGGGAACTTCTGAATTAAACTTTCCGAAGGAATGCTGAAAACCCTGAGAGAACATGTRTTCTTCTCGTTTAATACTACTGATTACAAACTACTCTAACTTCTAAGTATATTTTACTGTTAGACACCTTACGCATTGTGTTGTTATGAAGTCATTTTGAGGCTAAGGCAACATCCTTAATAGCAAACTTATTTGTGGATCATCAGTATTTCTGTGATAGCTCAGCTCAAAATGGCACAATGTAAGTGGGTGAACGTTACAAAGAAATCTAGAGCCCACCTGTTGCTGATGCTCCCTTGGTTCCTTGTTCATTCACCTCAATCTTCACCCTCTGCAGGACCTTCGACACACAAAGCCTCTCATCGGCTGGAAGACAAAACGAGCACAGTCCATATGACTAAATGACATTTGTGCTTTTCATTTGATGATGGGAAGGGTGGTTCCAYGAGCTTGTCATTTTGAGTTTATTTATATACCCCACATAGATATACCACAAAATGCTTCCCAATAAAAACATGGTAAATTCTATATAAAGTAAAACAAGGTATAGAACACACATACCAAAAAAACCCTTCATCTAGTTGAAAACCTGTTTTCTAAAATAATGTCTTAAGACGTTTTTAAAKGCATCTATTTAGTCTAGGCTGTGTTAAAATAGGGACAGTTTCTCCAGACTTTTAATAGAATGGGGGGTTTCTGGACTTCCAGATGAGGAGCACGAAGACCTTCAAATTCTGCAAGACCAGTTCACATTGTGGACAACATGTGGACTGCATGGATGTCCTAACGCCACAATCCACCCAGAACCCCAATAAGCTGCCATGATGATTATAAACCACTACAACCTGGTTACAAAATGTAAGTGCATCCTTAAAACCATAATGGACCTATCATGCTTTATCATGAATAATGGAGAGTCCATTGCATTCTGAATACACCCTTGAATACATTGTTGAGGACCTGCAAAGACCATCCATGTTCTGAATTATTTTTACCTTGAAGAAGATGGTAGTACTCTATGTACCATATCTTCTCGGAAAGTTCTACCAAAATTATCTACTTAGCTTTGGGAAATAAGATGATTGGTTAATGAAGCATGGTAGCAACTATAAGTGAAATTTAAATTTAATAYAATAAACTATCCAGAGTTTAGATTTTTGTCTTTTGTGTAAAATATCCAACAGAATATTTTTACAATGTGATTTAGATTTTGATATGCACACCCACAAGAAAACTGTAGACACTGTTGCCAGAATATGAATGACCTAATGAGTTATGAGCTTACAGGTTATATGTGTGAAGTCAGCAGTAGCCAGGTTGAAGATGTCTCCAAGACCCATGTTAATCAGAGCAGTCTTCAAATTCACTTCAGAATTTAGAGAAAACCTAACAAAGCAAACAAACATGTTCCAAATTTGCGTGGCTTGTAATTTAAACACATCAGTGCATATGGTTTGTGAGGTATTCTTCCTTACCTCGGCACTGCCAGTTGTCTCTTTACATTCCTCATCTCTGATCTCCACTGCTGAATCTTCTGACTGCTCAAGTCTGCACTGAGGACACTGAGGGGGACTTCAGGTTCAAATGGTGACACCAGGAGCATGCTCAGTGAGTCGCCTTCATATGGGACCTCAATCACATCATAGTCCACCCCACTGGTAGTCACAAACTCCCCTGTAAGTTCAAAGCATGCATTTTTAGATGAAATGGACAAGTGCCTCTGTAGACCTGTAGATGTTTTTGGTTAAATGTTTCAGCTTACCATAGTTGAAGTAGTTAGTCAGTCTCATCATGAGCACAGGTGTGGCACTGCCATTAGCACAGTGAAACATCCTCTCCTGGGTYAGTCTGGGGTCAAACGGAACCTTCCACAAACGATGGAAGTGAAGAGCATTAAGGAGGACCAAGCGAGTCTCTTCGTTTAAAGTTCCAGATGCCAAGAACTCTGGGATAGCACCTGCAGATGAAAAGAACACCATTTGCACACTAATTTCATAAATCTTTATTTATTTACAGTGCTTCACGAAATTAAAATTCAATAAAAACAGAAACAAATATATCATAAAATAACTAGGAAGTCTTGATCAGAAGACCTTACTAGTCTAAAAAGAGTGCAAGGATGAAGAGTTCACAAATAGGTGGGAGACGCCTGGTTGTTTAAAGCTCTGTAGACAACAGATTGAGTTTAAACTGAATGACAAATTTACAGAAAGCCAGTGTCAATAAATAAATAAATAACATAACTGGACTTCTGTAGCTGAAGCTGTTTTATTTCCCATTTAGAGCTTTATCAATAATAATACATACAGCGTGTTTGGATTATTACATTTCCTTTCATTCTAAACTCTGATTCATACCAATCCTCTGGTTTCAGTAAGCCACCATGTTACTTGTCTTATTGGGTTTTTCTACATTTAAATCAAGCTTTCAGACTCTGCTGGATTGTTTGTTCATTTATGTTTCTTGAACTTCATCCAAAAATAAACTTTATTTGAATTTACATTTTGAAGTAGGCATTTTGTGATAGTCTGTTCTCATTTTCTCCTTCAGTCGGTTCTCAGTTCTGTCAGCCATTCTCAGTTGTCACTCCCCATCAGTCCAGCTGCCTTCCCTGTCCTCAGCAGCTCATTTCTATTAATTCAGTCTTCTGTCTCTACCACATCAGTGCTGCATTGTCCTAGCTCTAGATGCCAGGCTCTTCTCTTGCTACTTGTGTTCATTTGTTTTAAACTTTTGTAAGTTTTGTTGCCTCGTCTTTGCTTTTGTTCTTTAATAAACATGTGTTTTAATTTCACCTGAGTTCCTCTTGCCTGCCTGTATTTGAGTCCAAATCTTCCCACAGCCTGATACATTTTTGTTATTTCTGAGATTAATATCTAAAGCTGTGACTTTAGTGAGCAGTAATCCATAGATTTTGGGCTTTTGTTATTGATATGAATTCTGTGTTTTGATTCTCTATCTGTAACTATCTCTACTACACATAGCCCCTCTGCTATCGATGCAAATGATGGTTGCAGTGTTCCTGGAAGTTAGTACCTGCAGTGTGGTCTGAGACCCAAGCATTAATAATGCCGACAGCCTGGTCTGGATTAGTGAAGTCCACCTGATGGGGGTAGGTTTGAAAGCTCTTAGACAGGGCACGGCGATATCCCTTCTCCAGATTCATCTTTCTCTCCACCATCACCCCGCTGGCTATCTCCACCCCGTCCTCCGTGACCAGAGCTCGCTGGATGAGCCGCTGCTGCCGAGGCATTCCTCGCTCTGAAACCCAAACAAAGGTAATGTTGTTTTATGGTCCAGTTCAAGGTCCTGACAGAGACTGGATGTGTCATAGTAAGGTAAATGATCCAGTGTAGAGTTAACATGTTCTGCATGAGTCTGAGTGCCATTTCTCCAGTTAATTTTCCTCCCACTAACCATAAATATGTGCAGTTAAAAACAGATACTTTACTCACACTTGTGGAAAAAAACATTTTATTCCTTTTCCCTCACTGTCTGACAGTGAATCAGACTAAAGGTTTCCTGTCTTAGGCAGTTAGGGTTCCAAAAAATATGCCTGTTTGCTTAAGTCAGAATTTTCAGAGTTATCAATTTCAAAGTCACAAGTATCCATCAATTTTATTATTTGATCCAAGTGTCTGCAAATTAGCATGACCGGGGTCAAATGTTCAGGGATTCCTCCCACAAGTTTCTCACAATGGTTTGCTATAATTTTGTCCCATTCTTGACAGAATTTGTGTGTTTGGGTCAGGTTTATAGGTTGCCTTGTTCTCTCTCACACAGTTTTTCAGCTTTGCCTACAAATTTTCTATGTGATTGAATTCAAGGATTTGTAATGGCTAACCCAAACCACTGAATTTGTTGTCTTCAAGTCACTTTGCAACTATTGTGTCAGTAATCCCTATGGGGTCATTGCTTCAAATATTTGGAATGTTATGAGATTTGCCAAAACATGTTGATTTCAGGAACTCAGAACCTTACATATGTACCTTCAGACATCTGGAAATTCAACCTAATGATGAACCAGAATTTTGGAGGTCAACAATTCTCTTCCTGAGAGAGATTTTATAAGTTCTTTATATCATTCACTCACCTCGGAGAGAAAAGCCCATGGCAGTAGTTAAGGCCTTGCGTGTGCTTCCATTAGCACCGAGTTGAGCCATGGACATAATGCTGGTCACACCGTATGGGGAGAGGACCAGGTTCTTGTCCACAAAACCTTGGGACATCTGGGAGAAGACTTTCAGGCCAAAGTCAGTCTGCTTGTCTTGCACAGAGCCCAGTCCCCCTCTGCTCAGGGCCACCAGTAGGAAAATGTACACATACAGCATGCTGGGTAAAAAAAAGGCATTTAATTTAGCTGTGATTGGTTTAGATTTAGATCACCAACTCTAAAAGTCCTAATCTAGCTCTAGACTGGACATGTCAATATGGACCCAGCTCACATATTTTTAGATTGCATTGGTACAGTCTATATTGACTGTGTTGGTGTTTTTAGATCTCCACAACATATTGTTTTTTGAGCATTGTCATTGCAATGTACAGGTGCACAATGGTCACACTGTTGGTGCTGCCATTTAGGAGGCAAATAAATCAATGTGTTATCTAAACCACTAAACCAGAGGTCTATAAAGAACTAAGTAAAAGTAAAATTACATGAACAGAAAATGACTTGAATTTCACTGATGAGAAAACTACTCAAGTAAAAGTTCACGAAAATTGGGAAAGTGAAAGTAAAAGTATGTTTAAAAACTCTAAGAAAAAGACTGTTGAATTTACTGAACCAAACTTGCTCCACTAAGTCAGGTTGAGTGAATTGAGTAATATATGTATATTATTTGCTCAATTTACTTAACTAGGGTTAGTGGAGCCAGTTGACATGAGTTTGTTGAGTAAATTCAACACTTCATTTTTAGAGCAGGAACATCTTTCATGATAAGTTCAAACATATGTTGTTAAAATTACAAATCCTCAAAAAACTAAAAAAGTACTGTAACAAAGTAAAAAACCTCTGCACTAAACCAGTCATTGCAATAAATGTATGAGTGTTCCTGTTTTTAATTTGATGGGCTYTTTTTGCTGGTGGAAGCAGGCAGCCTTGTGTCATATTAAAAAGCTAAAACTTTCCTTTTGTTGAGAAACTTCTGAGACAATATTGGCAACATTTTTCAGCGATGTGTTGGTGAAAATACAGTTAGCATGACTGCTAACATTAAAGCGTGACTAAAACAAAAACTAAATTATAGGTAAAAAGCAGTTCACATTTGCACATTATAGAATGAAATATGTAGTTAGGTTTTATTCACAAGTCATATAGTATAACAAGAATAACTCAAACACAGACAAAAACATTCTTGTCACATGCAAAAAAAGGAGATAAGATCATTGTAGGTTCATCGTCAACAAGATGGCAGGATAGCAGCGTAACTTAAACTTAGAAGCCCAGGTTTTATGTTTTTATACAATATTCTTTATTTATAACAGTTATCCTTTTTTCAAAGCATGTAACAAAATAATAATAGTGTTTTTTGAGGGCCTGAAACAGATCAATGGCATTTCAAATAATATCTATGGGGAAWACTGATTTGATTTATGTGTAATTTGAGTTATGAGCTCCTTCATAGAACAAATAAAACTGAGCTTTGAAGTGGTAGCAGCTGAGAGTTATTTACACCTCATACACCTGGCATGGCATCTCACTTGAAAAGATAAAATTACTGTAACTGTATGGCACCTTTTTATCCAACCAGGATACTCAAAGTTATTTACATAACAATCCGTGTTCTCATTCACACAGTACTCTATGTAGCTCAATCTAACCCAAACAAATCATCGTATGAAGGCCTGTCAGTGCTTTAAATCACATTCATACGCTGATGAGTCACACAACAGAGGCAATGAAAGGTTCAGTGTCTTGCCCAGGGACACTTCAACATGTGACTGMATAGCAGGGAGTCAAACCACCAACTCTTGCATTGAAGACTGACTCCTGTAACCACTCTGCCACACCCATCCATCCATCCATTATCTATACCCACTTTTTCCTTTCAGGGTTGCGTGGGTCACTGGCACCCATATCCAGCAGTCACATTGCGAGGGGCGGGGTACACCCTGGACAGATCTCCAGTCCATCACAGGGACACACATAGAGACAAACGAGACAAACAACCATTCACTCTCTCACTCACACCTAGGGACAATTTAGAGTTCTCAATTAACCTAACAGTCATGTTTTTAGTCTGTGGGAGGAAGCAGGAGTACCCGGAGAGAACCCATGCCCAGAACGGTACCCAGGCTGGGATTTGAACCGGCGACCTTCTTGCTGAGAGGCTCACTCACCATCAGGCATTATGTAATTTGTGTGGTTATACCAAAACAACTAACACTTCAGAATTTCTTCGTAAAATCTACGTCTAAAACTCTAGCATGAAATATGCATTCATTTAATAATAAGAGGTCTTTAAATTCTTRTTTTTTGTTTTAATCGCTGTTTTTTGACTTACCATAGAAAATACAGAACTTGAGGACATTTAAAATATAAGCTGACAGTCTCATCTACCCTCTCATTTGCCAGTGTTCTTCCTACAAACTGAAATGAACAATGTTCTGAAGTTCTTACCTTCGGGTTTTGGAGGCTTCAGACAGAAAAGAGTTGGTCTCTGCTCCTGTTGCTTCAGTCTGAAGAAGTGAAAGAGTTAGTGTTTTTGTAGACAAGTCCTGTCAGAATCCCACCCTCTCCCCCCCCC